GAAACCCCCCCCCCCCCAAAAAAAAAAAACAACAACAACCAAACAAACAAAAAACCCCCCACAAAAAACCCCAAAACAAACAAAAACGAAACAAACAACGAAACAAAGCAAAAAAACACACACTCACAAAAAAACCAACCAACCCAACAACAAAAAATTAACAAACGAAGCCATAAAGAAACAAATGGAATGAGCTCCAGCTTGCAGCCATTTCTGTTGTTTTCGTGCACCATTCAGATTAATATAATAATATGGTCGCGCTTTTAAGCTCAGGGGGGCTTTCCCGATAAATGCTGTTTTTAGAAAATCTAAGTTTTTGGATCCTTATTCCGTGTCTTTAAAAGACGAAGAGAGTTTTCCCTTCAAACCAAACAAATATACACACCAACTTCTCTTATAGGTAGGGCAATGGCCACTTTTGGTGTTGGTCAAGATTTCTGGAAACGTCCGAAATCTGGGTCAGCCCGCTTGTCCTTAATAGCGACTATATTATGTATGTCGTAGACGGATGTAGGACTTCTCCGTCATGAAGAAAATGTATTGTTTTTCCCAGAAAAAATAATTCTTTCGTTTAAGTGAAGTGTTTGTCTATGGATGATTATAAGCACCACTTTATCCTCATCCTTGCATCAGAACTTTTTTTGGTCTTTCCTTAGCTTGAAACCAACATAATTTTGCTGATATATTTCTCGCTGTCCAAAATAACCAAACGAGCGAACAAACTCATGCTCAAAACTTGTGCGTTTTTTTGTTTTTGCAACAGACAACGGTTATTAACCTTGACACAGGGCATGAAACCTCTTTATATCAAGATTACAGCGGGTGATCCCCAAAGCATATTTTATGTTTGAAATATTTCCAAAAAAGCTATGATCTCTACGTGCAGTTGTTGTTCTTGTTTTGTTTGTATCTTTTTACTATCGCGGATGCTAACAAAATTGTGTTTTCTTTTCTGGCTACAGATATACGGACGCAAGTTTGCAGGGGTGTGGAGGAATGCCAGTGATAAGGAGGCGGAAGCTATGGCATCATGCAAGAGTGAGGGGTTCTCTCCCCTTTATCGAGCAGAGGAGGATGTTACTGGCTGGCGTCTGACGCCGCTTGCAGTAGCCTAAACGCAACAGCAGACTCTTGGAGGAATTATGTTTACGTCTGGGTGCGTCAGCGTGTGTGTGCAGCGAGGTTAGCGACCTGACAGTTTACTTCTTATAGCACGGCAAGGGAGTAGTGCTGTTGTTTTCTTACTCGTCGAGTTTGGAGAATTACTGCGTGTGGTTAAGGGGAAATCCCGTTGTTTTTTTTTACTCAGAGAAGTAGGTTACTAGTGGTTATTGGTCGCAGGAAAATTGTGCAGTAGATTCTTTGATAAGAAAATTTGGATTGTTTCTGAAACATCACTGAAAAGTAAAGACAACGAGACTTTGATTCCTGTTTTTTAGTACATCGACAGGGTAAGTCCCTCTTCTATAGGTGTGCGGCAGTGCTCACTTGGCTGTGACATATTTGTGTCGCACCTGGGATACTCGCGTAAGACACCTGTGACACACCTGGCTCACATCTTGTTGACACTTTTTCTCGCCAGTGACACACCACTTCCACATCTGGGAAACACGTGTTAAGTATCTTTTACTTATACGAGTTATACTCAATTGCGACTCTTCTGGCTCACACTTGAGGCCCACCTTGGGCAGGGCTGATACATACCCGAGGCACACCTTTGTCAACCTTGATATACACACCCGTTACACACCTGGTGCATAACTGATCACGTGACCAGCATGGAGCACCACGAGCTGGTGCAGGAGATGCCCTCCATCGAGAGGATGACCACGCAGGACCGGCTCAAGCACGCGCGCAAACGCCGGTCACAGCAGATGAAGAAGTGGACGCAGTATGAGCGACAGCTGGACAAAGAGAGCTCCAAGAAGAAGAAGAAACAAGAAGTGCAGCAACAGCAGCAGCAGCAACAGCAACAGCAGCAGACAGCGTCACAGCGCCGGGGCCACCGCAAGAAGTCGGAGCGAGTCCGGTTTGTGGCCAACATTGCTCTGCTAGAGTCTGCGGCCAGAAATGATCTGGAAGAAGGTATGTTCAAGTTGTGATTTTAATCGATGAGTATGAGCATAAGTTCTTTATGTTAAATGAAATGCTCCTGATTCTCTTTGTTAATAAGGGTAGGGGTTGAAATACGGGCTCAACATAGTGTGTTAATGATTTGCAAGGGTTTTGATGTTGGTAAAGGATTAGTAGGGGGTCAGTACATCATTGTGCTTTCACAAGACAGATTGACTTCTTTATTTAAGTGTTGTATTAGAGGAGCTGTTTTCTTATATTTTCATTTGAAGAAAAATTGTAGCAAACAGTTGTCTAGTTACTATTTAACTCCGGTTGAGAACTGGGGGTCTTGTCAAAGCTGCCTATGTTGACACCGAATTTTTTTAAAGGTAATAATAATAATAATAGATAGCATTTGTATAGCGCATATCCCCGCTCAACGGCAGGCTCTATGCGCTTTACACTATATTATTACCCCAGCAGACCATAGAACACTCCGAAACATTCTCGCTTCCCGGGAAGCATACAGTGCAAGCAGCTGATTAAGCGCTCAAACACTAACAAACTGACAAGATCTTTCGCTGTCTATATCTGGGTACCCATTCCCACCTGGGTGAAGTGAGGAAAATTCGTGTAAAGTGCCTTTCCCAAGGACACAACGTCGGGTCCCTGACGGGATTCGAACCCACGACCTTACGGTTGCGAGTCCGAGAGCCTAACCACTAGGCCACCGACGCCACTATAGGTATAGGTGCGAAAAGTCACAGAAGTAGAAACTTTGCGTTCTTGGAAATTTAAAATTTAAAAAAGTACAACAAATGATCATGTTCTTAGGCCAGACAGCTTCCGTGTGTTGTCAGAAGCTCAAACACAATCAGTGTTTACTAAATTAAATATCTTTGAATGAAACCCTAACGAGTTCATTCGGTGACCAATCTTTTCCTGGTAGAAGTATGTGGGTTGCTCATCCGGTGACCGTGGGTGGTTGGCGGGTGCTCTGGTGTGGTTTGCTTCTTCTTTCCTATCAAACATCTATCGTCCTGATCTCTCCTCCTTCTTTTTTTAATGTTTGTTACTTTCTTGTAACACCTCTAATCTTCAGCACTTATATGACCTTATTGTGTTGTAAGTGCCGTAAAACTCTTACAAAAACTAAACATATTATGACCAATTTTTTCTCAATAGACATGTATGTGGGCTGCTCATCTGGTGACCAAACTTTGCTCGGTAGATGTTAGATGTATGTGGGTTGCCGTGTGGTTGCTGGACGCTCCGGCGTAGGTCTACTTTCTCTTTATATTTCCCTGTTGCTTGAAACAAAATGAGCCCCCGGCTGGAATATGATTGTCGATGTTCAGAGTCGTTCTAAACTAATCGTACGCGAATCAACCCCTGCCGCTTTGATGCACGAATAGATCAGATAATAGCTTTCGTGTTAAGTTTCACCTAAACACTCGATTACAAGTCCCGAATGTTATCCCTTGGTGTACAGAACACAATAAGCAGTCCTCGGCTCGTTGTTTCTAAACAGTTCAGACACCGACCACGTTTATTTGCAGACGTTAAATGAGATGGAACTAATAGGATCACGTCAGGTTAATGACCCAGGGTGGTCGTTTCCAGCTGGTGTCAGCTGAGGCTGGCGGAGAGAGAGAGAGAGAGAGAGAGAGAGAGAGAGAGAGAGAGAGAGAGAGAGAGAGAGAAGGAGAGACAGACAGACAGACAGACAGACAGAAAAGAGAGAGAGAAAGTGAGTGAGAGAGAGAGTGTGTGTGTGTGTGTGTGTGTGTGAGAGAGAGAGAGAGAGAGAGAGAGAGAGAGAGAGAGAGAGAGAGAGAGAGAGAGAGAGAGAGAGGGAGAGAGAGACAGACAGACAGACAGACAGACAGACAGACAGACAGACAGACAGACAGACAGACAGACAGACAGACAGACAGACAGACAGACAGACAGACAGACAGAGAAAGAGAGAGAGAGTGAGTGAGTGAGAGAGAGAGAGAGAGAGAGAGAGAGAGAGAGAGAGAGAGAGAGAGAGAGAGAGAGAGAGAGAGAGAGAGAGAGAGAGAGAGAGAGAGAGAGAGAGAGAGAATTCCTGGAGACAGCACGCCAGAACGTGTGGTGTCTGGCGAGATATTAAATCGATTTTGGATCATCTTTCCCTCAGGCCGACATGACGCTTTGTCATGAGCTTGATGCTAGGGCCACAGTATTCATGGCAGAAAAAAAAAAAGAATCTTGTCACGTAAAGGGAGGCCTTTTAAAGCATACTGAAACTAATGCCAATTACATGTAGTAGGATTTTTTGGGGGGTTCTAAATCAGGGTGGTTTTTGTTGTTGTTTTTGTTCCCTTTTTTTAAAAGTTCACTATTTTTATTATACTTGCTCAATATCGCGGCTTCTCTTTGCTATTAACAAAGATAGTAAATAACTATCTTTACTATTAAGAAAGAGTCTACATAATCTTTGCTATTAATGAATGTCCTTTTACGTAGGGTTGTTGCCTTTATTTTTGTTTTGCCGAGTTTCTCTTTTTCGGATGCCATGTTCGTGGTCTTATTGGTATTGTAAAAAGCAATGACTATGAAGACGTGAGTAAATAAATGCAATAATAATTCAAGAGTAAGGGGAAACAAAAAGTAAAACACGAAACTAATGGTCTGATCTGTTAGTTCGTGTTTTATTATTATATCATGGTTTGTTTTTAGCTTTCTTTAACTATATTCTTTCTGCCCTCCAGGCTTTAATCAAGGGTTATTTATAAAAGTTAGCTGCTTTCTTTAGGATTGTTTGCCTTAGCGGTGATCAGATGACCTTATACTGCTTGCAGTCAGAGCATGTCACTGGTACTTCCTTGTTGTCTCCTTTCCATCCGCTATTTCTGAATCGTAGGAAGCGCCCTTAGTACGTTCGTCTTCCCTCGTCGTATCGCTTCTTCTTTTTTGTTTTGTTTAGAACAACCGCTTTTGCGACATGTTTTTTCCCTTAATAATAATAATAATAATGATAACAATAATAATAATAATAATAA